TGAAAATTACCACTGATAGAAAGGTTTCTGTCAACAGAGCGTGATTTTCTCGCCTGACCCCTTCTACTGCAGCCCCCAATGTACCCCAAAATGATGTTCCTGGGGGACAATCTCGGGGGGTGGGGGGGGAGAAGCTGGAGGTTAGCAGTAAAAGGAGGTAACTGGCAAAAATCACATACCCCCTTCCACTGCAGGAAATGTTACGCAGAGCTGAACCCTTTTCCTCCCACCTCCTCTTTCATTCTTCAGCTTCCCTAGTTTCTTGTATTCTTGGATCCATCTTTTGAAATCAACTTAAACAACCAAAGCCAAAAGAGATCAACGGTACCATGGAAGCAATCCATCTAGATTCAGGTCACGATCCACCAGCAGAAGATCAATGCTGTAGGCGTTTGTTATTTAGTAAGAGGTAAAATTTGTTTTTATGCTAGTACTTTTTTTTAAAGAGGGGGGGAGCCCACACAGTTTGGCAGTCTGAAGTAGCTGGCCTGTGACTTGACTGCAAAAAAAAAAAAAAATGTAGCCAGCCATTATTTGTGGCCCTCACTGACTCCTCCGTTCCCTCAGGTCCCTTAGCATGGACAGAGGACTCAGAACCCCTCCGCTTTATGGGGATAACAATACTGATCTATCTTACTGGGAAGTTGCTAGAGGACATTACAGTATTTATGTGAACGTATGAAGATGCCTCACACCAGTTCATACCATCGCTCCATCAAGCTCAATATTGTCTCCAATGCGACTAGTAATGGCTCTCCTGTTACCCCTTCCACCAAAGATGTCAGCACTGAACCTAGGATCAGTAACACAAGAATCATGTGATTCCACTGAGTCACAGCCCCTCCCCAAAATCTGTGCCAGATATTATCATTACCCCAGTTATATATATCACAGCAGGTGTCCCCAACCTTTTTTGAGGCTGCAGGCACATTCGGAATGCTGACACAGTGTGGTGGGTGCCACCACAAAATGGCTGCCGCAAGAGGGGAACTCAGCCACAAAATGACTGCCACGGCTTAGCTTTAGTAGCACAGGGTAGATCTATGCTAACCGGCCTAAAATGAGGAACCTGGCATTTTTGACTCTGATAAACAAGTCTGTTGCAGAGATGATGGCCCAAGACAGGCCTGATGAAATGGGACATCTTGCGGTCTGAAAGTCCAGATTTACGAGAAGACAAGTCCATTCTTTACAAGAAGACCATCCCTTTACGAGAATATCTGTGTCTCAAGATATTTGCGGTGGGCTGTTGTGGGTTATGAAGAAAAGGTTAGGAAAGAATAAAGAAGGTTAATACCATGTTTGGCATAAAGGAATTATGCCCTTTTTGGGAAAGTAGTGGGCTTGTCTAATAAAAAACAGAAGTGATTAGGCGATCGTGATTGGAAGTTGTAACTCCTGACTCTCAGTTCTGGGAGGTGGAGAGGGTGTTTCTTATTTTTTTTACCACGCCGCGACAGGATAAATATCAGGTCCCAGACCTCATTCAGGTGTGTTCTCCCAGTGCTCATTGGGCGATGGGAGACACCCGGTCTGCAGGCTATAACCAAATAAATTCTGTTTCACTGAAGGAAAGTCTGTCTCCAGAAATTACTTATTGGTAAGAGAGAATTTCATTAACGACACTTTGTTGGGCAAAAAACCTACCTGGCCCCACACATTTGGCAAGCGACAAAAAAATGGTCTGCAAGTGCCAGGGCGCCCCTGGGCACCATGTTGGAGAGCCCCCGTATCACAGGACCTCAGCCATGCTCAAATCAGAAAGAGTCTGTTACTGACCTGACCTTTCCAAACATGACTGCAAGGCATTTGGAAACCAGAGGGACCACAAGCCAGTCACAGACCTCATTATATGCCTCAATAGGGCCAAGTCAAGAAGATCTGCCTTGCTATTGATGCCAAAGAGGCTTCACACGCTAAGCTGAGAAAACAGTTTGTTTGATTCTGTCCGCGGACAAGGTCTCTTTTGTTTCCACAGCACAGAAATGAGAATACTTTGCTAGCAGGCAAAATATGCGACGGCCTCTCGGGGTATGTTCATCCTTTGGCTGAACAGCTATCAAAACTGGGGGAAGCGAGTACAATTCTAAAATTAATCTGGAACACAGCTGCTGGTTTAGAGAACGCTACGGTTCTTAAAAATGCTTTTACTAGGGTGCTAATGCTTCACCAATTCATCAAGCCAATCAAAATACTTAAGAAAACCCTTTTGGCTGATTTAAAAAGAGGCTCTGGTTAATCAGGCACACTGTTTTTTTAAAAAAAAGATTGTGATGGTTAAAAAAAGGCAATAAGGTTTGTACTGCACTGGTAAACCAAAGTAATTATTTTTTATATATATAAGACACTTATACCTCCACTTTTCCCCCCACAGGCACCTAAAGTGGCTTATAGCATTACTCTCCCCCCTCCATTTTAGCCTCACAACAACCATCTTATGAGGTAGGCTACTCTGAGGGAATGTGACTGGCCCAAGGACACCCAGTAAACTTCTACGGAACAGTGGGGATTTGCACTCGGGTCCCAGATCCTCTCCCAACGCTCTAACCACTACACCACACTGTACTTGTAAAGACGGTCGATAGGTGGCGCCATTTCAGAAGAGGCATTTCCCTCCTGCATCATCGAAAAAACAAAACAGAATCCCCTTCTTCTTCAGAAATCATTGCAATTAACTGATGAGGAAGTCTTTAACAGGGTGACAAGCTGTAGCTTTAACAAACTGGATAACTACCACACCCTGATCCCTGGCAGTAGCAAACTGATGGTAATGGGCAGGGATTCTGCCCACCAGCCTCTCAAAGCACCACAGACTGACGGCTGGCTTTCAAATAAGCCCTGAGCGTCTCCATTCCAAAAACAGCCTCCATTGACAGAGCAAAGACTCTGCAACACCCTCGACGCGCTGCTGTTGCAAACTACTCAGCCACCCAGACCGTCTCCTTGGCTACATCCTGGCAGTCGGTCACCATGCTTTTACAGAGCAGTGAAGCCTCATTTATTTGTCAGTCAATGCTCGGCCTGCCAGTCCCCATACATTAGCCTGGTCCCCATCATTAGCCTAGAGCCACACTTAATTGTTGGTGTTAACCCTGAGTCAGCCTATCCATTCCTTTCTCCATCACATGCAGCCCCTGCTTTCTTGGCCTGTCACAGTGGCAGAGATGCGACTGGCCAAGGCCCATACTCAGCTGCGCCTCCAAAAACGTGCGCCCTGCATAATGTAGCATCATGTTTCTAAGGAAAATGGGGCAGCGGGGGTCACTGTGGAAGTGTGTTTACCACACTCAAATGAGCCGTCTCCTCTCCAAAGCTGAGCTCAAGCAAAACCAGCTCAGCAGAATCAGGTTAGGCTTAGGGTCGATGGGCTAGTCCCTGTAACGTCATGAACTTATCACCCCAGAGATGTTTTTTTCCAATTTGAAAAGAAAACAAATTATGTCGTGAACAAATATTCAACTGAGTAAATTCACAAGTGGTGCGGAGGGGGGGGGTTGAAAAAGAAAGCCGGTACCTTGTCTGACGACAGACGACAGAGCCATCATTCATAGAGCTGGCAAATATATCGGGTAAGGTATTGTGAAGGTGGGTAGAAGTCAGACTACTACCATGGGAGGGGGGGGGAGAAAAACCAGCACACTGAGTCTCATCTTAAAATATGCTTGTACACACTCTAGTTTTGGTTTATGTTTTTCCTGACCTCTGCTATGGATTTTTTTTAATGGCCTACACCCACCACTATATATGCTGTACTCTTTTGACTGGGCCCATTTGTATGCATTCCTGTGATTCAAGGCAGAGCAGAGTTATGTTTACCATTAACAGCCCCTACTTATTCTATTGGGACACCCCTTCCAGCCCTGATTTCTGTCACCTTTTTTATCCTGTCCTTCCTTTGGGGAATTCAGAGTACTACACATATTTCTCGCCTCCCCAAAGTCCTGTGAGACAGCTTAGACACAGAGAGAAAGAATTCCAGAAAGCTTTGTGGCAGAGTAGAGATTGGAACCCAGGTCTTTCAGGTCCATACTTTAACCACTACACACCACTTCTGCATTCTGAAACGTCACTTAACAATGACCATACTCTTCAGCCCCATCGCCAAAGCCACACAGATTCCCTGCCCGATTTCCCAGGTTAAAACTGAGGCGCTTCTTGTGTACTTGTGGAACACACTAGGGACCATGACCTCAGCACCCCTCCCTGTTCCTCTATTAAATATTGCTAACAGCTCTTTTTTTGCTAGTAGATGGTGTAATCATTTACTTGCAATTGCCTAGTTGGCACCAGCCTCTGAAACAGTGGGTTAGCAAGATGACCATTAAGAGTTTCCTTTAAAAAAACAAACCATAAAACTTTGGTTATCAGCACGTTTAATTTTCTCTATGGATCTACTTGTACTCAATACAGGTTGGCTTCAATTTAATCTCATTCAGCAACAATCAGTGGTTAAGATGCCGAACTGCAGGCTGTGAAAGGGTCGGTAGTTCAGCAGTTCGAGACCCAAGTGTGCCGCATGACGGATTGAGCTCCCGTCTCTAGTTCCAGCTCCTGCCAACCTAGCAATTCGAAAGCAAGAAATTGCAAGTAGATAAATAGGTACCACTTCAGTGGGAAGGTAACACCGTTCCGTGCGCC